TCTATCTTTCTATCTATCTATCTATCTATCTATCTATCTATCTATCTATCTATCTATCTATCTATCTTTATACATAGATAGATAGATATAGGTAGATGATAGATTCAAAAGTTTGCTGGAAAAAAAATTTTTTTCATTTCTTTCTATATAAAGAAAATAATATATGTGTTTGCCATTTGGGTGTTTGCAGATGGAATGAAATTAGTATTTCCTATTGGCACACTAAAGCAAAATTAATATAAATATTAAAATATAAAATGTAACAAAATCTGTTTTGCAGACGCTGTGGCGTATGCTGCACTGCTAAGGAATGAGCTGTTGGGAGCAGGAATCGAAACCGTGCCTGATCCTCACACGGATGACCGTCGACACACCATCCTCATGCAGGACACACACAGCCTCTTCAGGGTGAGCCCACTCAACACACTGTAACATTTACATGACAGATCCATGTGAGATTCACTGTCACGTAAAAAGCTCACTGGAGAAACGTACATGTTTTCTGCTCTTTTTCTCACATGTTGTTATATTGTATTAGACTCTTGTTTTTCTTCTGTCTCTCAGTACACCATCCACACAAAGAGAGTGCCTTTTGACAGGGATCCTCTGCAGTGAATGGGTGCCGTCAGAATGAGAGTCCAAACAGCTGATAAAAACATCACAATAATCCACAAGTAATCCACACAACACCAGTCCATTTTTTTTTCTTATTGTAAACACTTTTATGTTTTATCAAATCCAATACCAGTTAACATTTCCCAAGTGTACCAATAGGACAGCTCACTATATAACTCAGAATAGTTCAGAGAGACACTGTGGATGGTGTAAACTGCCAAAATTTGGCTTGGATTTTTATTTTTAGGTTTAGGTGTAGAAAATGCAGCTTGAATATTCGATTTCCACATGTGGGCGAGCATGAAACTCAACTTCCCGCTGATTGGTCAACTAGAGTTCAATCCGTGCTGTCATCAGTTGTTCAGTTCCTTGTAACAGAATAATAGTCATCCGCTGTTATAGTTGTACAGATTTTTAAAGTGTTTATTGCAACTCTATATCAAGGCATTTTTTTTTCTGCTTTCAATATTATATAAAAAAATAAATTGAAGGAACGAACACGGACCATTTTAGAGTACTGATTTCATATTTGTTGATAAGAACGCCAATTAAGACCAAATGTTTTTTTTCCAGCATGAGTGCAAAACAAATAAAAAATTAAATTTGGTCTAAAAAGCATGACAAAACTGTGTGTTTTTCTACTGTTGTTAGTTACTGGTGTGGAACAGCTCCAGTCTGCTCCCCGTGCAGCAGTACAGCGATCACCTGGCCGCCGTGAAGGCCATCGCCTGGTCTCCTCACCAGCACGGCCTGCTGGCCTCCGGAGGAGGAACAGCTGACCGCTGCCTTCGCTTCTGGAACACTCTGACCGGACAGGCATTACAGAGTACTGACACCGGCTCACAGGTCTGCAACCTGGCCTGGTCCAAACACGCCAACGAGCTGGTAAGACAAGCATCTACAATCACAGTCAAATCAAATGCTTTTTCCCATACTGGCTTTCACCATTGATGCCCACTAGGTCAGCACACACGGCTACTCCCAGAACCAGATCCTGGTGTGGAAATACCCATCACTCACCCAGGTGGCCAAGCTCACAGGACATTCATACCGAGTCCTTTACTTGGTAAGTGTGTTATTGGATCTAGTATTTTTCCAAAAATACTGTAGAGATGCAGTTCATACAAAAAATGACTTGAACATATTGTTATGATGAGCTTGTTGATAGTTTCTGAATTCAAATAAATTTTGATATTTGCATAAGGCAACTGTCATGATATCATAATGAAGAAAAAAATACATTAAAAGAATGAAATTCTTGAAAAGAAAACCATATTAAGTATTTTGGCATAAACATACTGTTTTTTTGAAAGAAAAAATATTTTAACTAGGGCTGTCAATAGATACATTTTTTTAATCGGATTATTCACACTTTTTGTGTGATTAATCGCACACTTATCATGAAATTAAGCATATACCATTTATCTTATTTAACACGTTTATTTTGTCATTGTTCAGCATATATCCTATATCCAGCAAAGTAAAGCAAAATATTGAAGGGTGATTCTTACAAAACTGTATTTTCTTCAGATAAGATAAATTTAGATGTCTTCAAAAAAGGACACTTGGAGACTCCAAAAGGACACCAAAGAACCAAATGATATAAGAAGTTCATATAATTGATACACTTGGGCACACCAAAGCACACATTTAATTAATTAATTAATTTAAAAAAGGCTATGTTTGAAAAATTATGAGAAGGGAACGAGCGTTGCATTAAATGCTATGGGTAAACTCCTGTTTACTCTGAATACTTAAGCCTGATTTGATCACATTAGTGTAGCTGCACGAACCAATGGCACTTCAACCCGCCAAAACGGGTGGAGCCAACTGCTATATAAGTTGGCTCTGAGTGCCATTTCATCAGAAACTCACGTGTAGCCTTATAGCATGGCAGCTTATGCAACGCTCGTTCCCGTTAGTATCCGTTAGTATTCCCTTTCAAACGGTCTCTCCCGTTGCGTTAAACACTATGGGGAACGCATCCAAAAGCCGTGCTATAAGCAAGTGCAGAACGAAGCCCAGTCCCGGAGCACCCGTACTGAGGGCTCCTGCAAGAATGAGCTAATTATGAGACCCAAGCCACTAGGCTGAGGACTACATAACAAAACCTTCTTCACTTAGGAGGGGATTAGGTAAACTTAAGCTGGCAAAATCTGTGCCTGAAGGACAGGGACGTCCAAGTTATAAAACCTGGTGATGGTGGACGGCGATGACCAGCCGGCAGCCGCACAGATATCGTCGATGGAAATCCCACTGGACCAAGTCCAGGAGGAGGCCATTCCACTGGTACAGTGGGCCCTCACTTCTGTAAACACACTGTGGCATAAGCCAGGGCTATAGCATTCACTATCCAGCAAGATAGTCTCTGCTATGTAACCAGAAGCCCCTTAGAGCAGCCTCCGAAACACACAAAGAGCTGCTCTGAGTGCTGAAACGGGGCCAGAGCACTCAACATACACTCTTAAGAGCCCGAACCAGGCAGAGTGGATTGGGACCCTGCTCATCCACTAAATTGGGAAGAGCTAAAAGGGTAATGATTTGTGCTCTGTGTAGAGCACTTTAGGCACACAGCTGTGTCCTGGTTTGAGGATGACCCTACAGTTGTTAGGCCCAAACTCAAGACACAAAGCACTGACCGACAGTGCTTGTAGATCACCCACCTGCTTGATCAATGCTAAGCCAAAAGGAGGGTGGTCTTAAGCGACGGGCTGCAAGTCAGCTGACTGGAGCAGCTCGAAGGGAGGGGCTCGTAGAACCCTGAGGACTATAGATAAGTCCCAGGTCAGCACAGCATGAGGATGAGGCGGATTCGGTCTCCGAGCTCCCCTCAGAAACTTAACGACAAGGTTGTTTCTGCCGACTGACTGGCCAGCCACGAGAGCATGATTCGCCATGATGGCTGCCACATAAACTTTGAGCATAGAAGGGGTGCGCCTCTTATCTAGCAGGGGGGAGGCATACAAGCGAGTGCTGGGCCAATCCTGGGCCAGGGCATCTCGCTTCGAGGAGTAAATTTGGCAGTGAAATTTGTCTTCTGAGGCAAAGAGGTTCACCTCTGCCTCCCGAAGACAGACCAGATCGTCTGAACCATTTGGGGATGTAGTCTCCATTCTCCTGGAGCTACGTTGCCCCTGGACAGCATGTTCAGTCTGCCCAGCACGTGAACTGCTCTCAGTGAGAGAAGGTTGCACTGTGCCCATAAAATGAGGCGTCAAGCCAACCTGTGAGGCTGATGATACACGGGGCAACTTTTTGAGCAATGTTGCCGGGCAACTTTGGCTAATGTTGCCATCAATGGGCAACGAGGTGATACACAGGGCCCACAACCTATCTAAAGTATCCAGATAAAAATGTGTTACCCATTCTCAAAGGGAAAGTGCCCAAGCAACATTGCTCAAAAAAAGTTGCCCAGCAAAATTGCTCAAAACGTTGCCCCATGTATCATCAGCCTGAAGGCAGCGTGACGTGAGGACGCCTTGGTGCTTTATAAAGGCTACCACCGTCATGTTGTCCAAACGTACCAGGACGTGGTGCCCCGTTAAGGCTGGCAGGAAAGACTTTAGGGCTAGAAAAACCGCCATCATCTCGAGGCAGGTAATGCCTTTTACAGAGCTCCTCAACCTGAGTTGGAGGCATCTGTCGTGACCACCTTCCATGTGGAGGTCAGTCCCAACGGGACGCCTGATTGAAATAGGCGAGGGGCCATAGCCTTGATGCAGCGGTCCGAATGGCAGTCTGACAGTCCGAATGGTAGGATAGTATATTGATAAGCCAACCCCACCAACATGAATCTCAAGAGCGATCTGTGATGAGGGGCTTTCTGGATGTGAATGTAATAAAAAAACAGTCCCAGGGGCATAACTGCGCGAGGATCTGCTTCAAAGTCAGGATCTTGAACAGGCATTTATATAAGCACGTGGTTCAGATGGCTGGGCCCACCATTTTTCTTGGGAACAAGGAAGTAGCGGCTGTAAAAGCCTGACTCGCTGTTCGCTCCTTTTGCAAGCAGAGTTTGCACTTCTAAGCGGCTGCAGGCAGGCTCTTCCGGGGCCAACCATTCTAAGCCGAGATTCTCCACAGCCTAGAGAGGATGAGAATCAGTTCGCTCTCCACCAGCCCATAATAACACATTGGGGAGAAGTGTGTCAGGATCCTCTCCGGAGCACACCCAATCCTCCAAATCTGAAGCTGTCAGTGATATGGAATCATCAGTGACAGCATTCTCCTCTGATCCACCTAAAAAGAGGGCACTGATCCTCATGTGCAAAACACACTGTTACTTCATTGGAGAAGGTGATCTGCGAGCAAAGCAGGGCGAGACTCATGCTCTCGCAGTGAGAGCAGTCTGTCTCAGTGAGTGCATCATCAGCGTGGGCATGGCCCAGGCAAGTGGTGCACTCGAACCTGAAGCTGTCAGCGAAATGAAATCATCGTTGCCAGCATTCTCCTCTGATCCACCTAAAAAGATCAAACTGCTCGTTGTAGACGAGAAGTGCAGATCTTCATGTGTAAAACACACTGGCGGATCAAAGTGCTGCGGGGAGAGTGAGCACGCGGGACCTGTGCCGGCGTGAGATCACTCAAGCCCGGTTGCTCAGCCCCGTGACTCCACTGTTTCTTCCTCCAAGCTAGCTGAGAAGAGAGAAACCGGGAGAGCAGGAGGGGTGGGGCCGCCTTCATTGAAGAAGGCGATCCGCGAGCGAAGCAGAGCGAGACATATGCTCTCGTAGTGAGAGCAGTCTGTCTCAGTGAGCGCAGCCTCAGCGTGGGCGCAGCACACTTACTGTGCTAGTCTGAAGCATGCAGGGGTGCCCTGCATGAGCCACATAAGCAGCGCAGCATTTGCAACAACACAGAGGAAATTTGCTCTAGAAAATTTACTCTTTGTGATTGCCGGATAGCCACAAGAGAGAAGGTGCTGAAGAGGAGGTCTTTCTGCTGCCGGGGGTTCTTCCACAGCGTGTAGCAAGCTTCGAGCTTCTTGCTTCAGAGTCTAGTGAAGAGATGATATTTGCGCTGAAGTTGAAAAATTCTGATGGAATGGCACTCTAAACCCGACTTATATAGCAGTCGGCTCCACCAACTTTGCATGTTGAAGTGCCATTGGTTCATGTAGCTACATGAACGTGATCAAATCAGGCATCAGTATTCAGAGTAAACAGGAGTTTACGCATAACGGGAGAGACCATTTGAAAGGGAACAGTATGACGGTATGAATCCTTGTTTTCTCAAAATCACATGGCATGCCAAGTTTGATACAAGCTCCAAAACTCTGATTTAAAACAAAGGATTCATAAATGTTTTGAAGCTTCATGAACACATTGCCATCAGTACATTCTGTATGCCCAATAAAAATACAAATATTTAATCTTTTTTGTCATTATGTACTTAGATTTATGTTTTATCAAAGTGAATAACACTGAACATTTTCCAAGTGTACCAATAGGTAAGCTCACTGTATAGCTCAGAGTAGTACAGAGAGACACTGTGGACGGTGTAAACTGCCATATTATCCATAAGGCACGGTTGGCTCTGGATCTGATTTTCAATTAAGTACAAATGACCGGTGAAGACAAATAGTAATCAAATCATCGATGTGTAATTTAATAATGTGATCCTGTGCTAGTTCAGACACACATGAGAAGTGAGTGCATGTTGAGGATGCTTCTGGTTGTGTACAGGCAGTGTCTCCAGATGGCGAGGCCATCGTAACGGGAGCAGGAGACGAGACGCTGAGGTTCTGGAATGTCTTCAGCAAAACACGCTGCACCAAGGTCAGGCTGAAGTCTTACATTTAGACGTGCAGCTTGTCCTGCATCTTACTGTTACCTGTTTCACATTTGTTTTTGTCTTCTGTCTCCAGGAATCCAAATCAGTGTTGAACCTCTTCACCAGGATACGGTAATTCACAGCCGGAGAGCAATCCATCCAATCACGTGAACGAATGAAAGCCTTGAACTCACTCTGTTCTGTGTCCTTGCATCAACTCTAGACCCTCCGACAGAGAGAGACCACAGCACTTCCTTCATTCTCACTTTTTTACTCAGCAGATTTCGGTTTTATCCCGTAAAATGCCAGTGAGGGCTTGTTGTTTATGTTAAGATTCAGTCCGTTCTTCTTATTATTGTACATTGTGGAAGTCCAAACAGATGTGCTATTGTATAAGTAGAAGTATTAATAGAGAAATTAACCTATATGACCTATATTGTCATCATCATGACTTTTAGTCATGAGGTTAAAATGAAATGGCTTGTTATGAACATTTCAATATTTTATATGTGTATCAAAACAGATCATGATATCTGTAAGAAATAAATACACAACACTAATCCTGTCACTTTTTATGACAAACAGACAAAATTATGTATTTACTGTATGTCTTGTACACTTCCCTACAAAAGTTTGGGGTGAGTTGTTTTTAAATAAATTAATAGTTTTATTCATCAAGGATGCATTAAATTGATCAAATGTGACAGTAAATATTTTATTATGTTACAAAAGATTTCTATTTTTAAAAAATTGCTGTTCTTTCAAACTTTCTGTTTACTATTACACAAAAATATGAAGCAGCACAACTGTTTTCAACAGTTGATAATAACAACTGATAATAATAAGAAATTGATAATACTTGAGCAGCAAATCTGCATATTAGAATGATTTCTGAAGGATCATGTGACACTGAAGACTGGAGTAATGATGCTGAAAATTCAGCTTTGATCACAGGAATAAATTACATTTTAAAATATATATATATATATATATATATATATATATTTAAAAAAAGTAAGCGGCTATTTACATTTGAATATTTGATGTTTTACTGTATTTTGATCAAATAAATGCAGACTTGGTGAGCATAAAAGACTTCTTTCAAAAACAAAAAGTCTTAAAAAATATTACCAAATTCAAACTTTTTGTATTTTAAATATGAGATGCATTGAAAAGTTTAAAGTTTCACTGAGAAAAAAAAAAAACGCACACGAAACGAAAAACCACCATTCGTAAAAATGTATAAGATAAATATAAATGTATAAGACTTGCATAACCTTGTATAACCCAAACTTAACATTTAGCAAGGTTTATCCTAAAACAAAAATAGAGATATATTCTCTGAAAAAAAAAGTCATGAGTAAATGCATCTCGTTTTAAGGATGTTTTGATCGTTTTAATAGGCAAAAAAATGTTTTTTTTGTGTGTGGTGAAATCAGTGTTGTTTACAGAAGATGTGATAGGATTACAAAAATCTAAGTCATATCTATTATTTCAATCATTCAGATTGCTTTTTCAATCATAACACGTTGATAGCACTGTATCTTTTGACCCCACAACAGTAAAGCAATTTGTAACTCAGAATCCATTCTGGATCTTGCATAGAGAGTGTGTTTAGTAGCTTGCTGCATACTCAGTACCTTGTAGTCCTCGACTCAACAAAGCAAACTCTTTCACGATGTCCTTCATCTGTCGCTTACTCACTTGTTCCCTGTGTGAACAGTTGAAAAGACGAAACAAATGCTTATAAAGTGCAGAGTGCCTGTTCTGGTGTTAATGTTAAAGTCATGGTTCTACCTGAGGATCTGCTGGCAGAAGTGTTCTTTGTGCTCAGTGGTGAGATGTGAGCTGGGGAAGCCAGGGGGCAGAAGAGCTTCTCTAAGCCACAGAGACAGCATGCTGGGACAGTTACGACTTACTGAAAACAAGACTTCGGCAAAGTGCTCTGCCAGACTGCCTGGACACTGACCCCCAATGGCCTGCATTCACAATGAAATTGGTCATTACATGCTAAATATATAATATATTTACAGTATTTTATGCCTACATAACCCTATTTAACATTTCCATATGAGGTAAATTTTTCCAAAACACTTCCATCAGTAATTTTACATGCAATTAAAATTACAAAATTAAACACTGTGCTGAAATACATGTGTGATTTTATAAAAGAATGGACTGAATTTCTATATTTCAGGTTGGTTAGTTTGATATTGCTTGTATAAAACAGTTCAATAAACAAGTTAATATTGAGTAAATTACATTTTAGACATTTTTTTGTATAGTCGTGTTTCATTCCTTAATTCATCAGTATTTTGAACAAATCAGTGAATGATTCAATGACTCACTAATAACAAGCCACTTAATTAATTGCTGCATGAATCTGTTTTTAACAAATTAGCTAAGTGAATGATTCAGTGACTCACTCCTAAATATAGTCACTTGTTTTCATACTAAAGAGAATCAGTGTGACTGAAAAAATAGGTTAAATGAATGATTCAATTACTCACTCATATAGAGTCAGATAATTTGCTCCTGAATGAATCTGTTTTTGAATGAATTGTTTGAGTCAGTGATACAATGATTAACTCAGAAAAAAAACTTGTTTTCATTCTGAATGATTCAGTTTGCTGAAATAAAATGGTTGAGTGAATCATCGATATGTATAGGTAGATGCCACACACGACTTCTCCAGACATGTCGACGCGTCTGTCATCTTGGAACAGTCAATGTGTTGTCACTCACAATAAAAATCAATGAGTTTCAAGATGCCACAACACTGCAGAGACACTGGTTGTAAAAATTGTTGAAATTTAAATTCATGAAGAAATTGGAAACATTTTCACAGATAAGAATGTGTTGGTTTGTGTTTTTAACATGTATTAACTCAATATTACAGGTTTTAAATTATAGTACCTTTTCAATGTCGTGTTAGCTAAAGTGTTAGTTTAGCAAAATCATCCGTTGAAGTCTATTGCAGCTATAGATATTCATACACGTGTATAACTAGGGTTGCAGACATTGACAATTTGCTAGAGTGTTCAAGAATCGGCTTTGAACTTTCCAATATGGTGGACGGCTTATGTATAGCGGCCCATAAAAACAGCCACTAATAGGGCGTCTACCTATATATATATATATCTATATAATCTATGGAGTGAATTATTCTATGATTCACTCATAAAAACCATCACTTAATTTACTCCTGAATCTACTACCTTGATCAATATAATCAAAGGCCATCATAGTACAAATATTAACAAATGGAATTTAATTGAATAGGTGTTTTTGAACGAACTGCTTGAGTGAATGTTTGTATGAATGGAATGAGTGTTTGAATGAATCAGTTGAATAAATTATTCAATGATAAAAGTCACCTGTTGCCACCTACTGGTGTAACAATGTAACTTGAAGAAAGAGTGACTAAGAAATGGCAAACACTAATGCACACAGAGTATGTCTGAAACCACAGATTTTTATAAGATTGACTTGCTGATGGAAACAATATACATGCATAAATATCTGACCTCTAGTAGGGTCTGAAGGAGCAGCTTGCCATCCTCCTGTAGCACCTCCCTCACAACAGGAATATCCTCACAATGAGAGATCAGCTCCGTCTGTGCAGGAGCATCAAGAGAGCTCTGTCTTGAGTACTATATACTCTACTTGTATGTACAGGGTGACATATTACAAGTAAAGGGATCATGAACTGCCTTTTTTATTATTTTGTACTCTTCTCTGAGGTCCACTTATAATGTTATCAATAACGTTATATCGATATAATATCTATAATTTAGAAGTAATAGGCTATTTTCTGTCCTGTTTTGACTGCCCTCATCGGAACGCTCTGTTTGATTAGGTGTGGCGGATTGTCGACTCGGAAGTAAACGCCCACTGCTATGATTGGCGAACAGTTGTCTATGTTTGACAGCCTACATCCTTCCCAGATGGATGCTGCTGTGATTTAGGTTAAAAACGCATAAATACTCAGTACATATCAAACAATCTGTAATATCAGACAAAGCAATAGTGACCACATAATAAAAATAGTAACACACTTTTTGTGGTGCGACATTACTGTCGGGTCCAATATATTTGGCACAGCATCATCTTTTAGTTTCAATCTTTCTGAAAATCCTGCGTTGAATTGTGCCTTGTTTGTAAAGGAATCCGTGGTGAAATGTAGTGAACAAAAGGACCAAGTTCTTACTGACGCGGTTTGGACCTTCATTAAAAATAAACTTCATCCACTCTTTCCTAATTTTTTTATCAGAAGGAAGACAATGCAAAGACTGTGTTTTTCCACAGCTTGGCACTGTACAGTATCTTGTTGTCTTCGGAGCATCTTTATCGTTTGGTTTCTGCGTAGATCTGCATTTGCCTCTCTCGTTATTTACCCACTATGTGCGTGAATCGGTGGGTGGGGCTAAACAGGCAGTCATGTAGAAGCAGACGTTGATCTTCTTCTGCGGAGGCGGTGTTTACCCCGCTCTATTACGTCATAAAGTGGCACATTCCACAACCTTTGTCGTTTTGGCAGATTGGCTTCAATATAAGCTGTTTTTAGACTAACTAGAAAGTTTTGAATTCTGAAACTTGCAGGATGTTTTTATAGTACAATGACCTTTTATATGTCAAAAGATCAAGTGAATTTAGATTTCTCAGTTCATGACACCTTTAATGGTACAGAAAGTGTTCCAGTACAAGCTGTAGTATTTGCGCTATGTGTGTACAATTGCAGCTGTCTATGAAGATGAACTGCTTCTTGGTACATGTTCAGTGTTGTACTTACGAATAGCAGACAAGTTGCTTTCAGTGTTGGAGTTTCAGGAAATTTGAATGACAAGATTCCTACATAGACATAGACAGTTAATTAATAGATCAATAAATGAATTTTGTGGCTGTGAATACACTTGCTGATGCAATGCTTACCACAGTAGAAAACAGCTTTGATGTCAAGACGGTCTGAAAGATAAAGGTCAGACTTTCTTCTCAATACCTGCAGACATCAGAGAAAATATTAGCAAAAAAAAAAACATCATGGGAAACCTCTTTACTGTCATGGCTACGCTGTGATAATAAGTGCACGAAGATGAAGAAGGTTATATCAAAAGTCTTTAATCCAACAAGGGTAATCCAAAAAAGGGCAATCCAACATACAGGTAGCATACATGCAGACATTAACTACTCAAGACTGGACCACTAAAACTGAACACATAGGAACTCAAATACACGACCAAACAAGGAAGATCAACAAGACACACCTGAACCAAATGACACAATTAACACAATGAAGGT